CTTTGGGCTGGGCACAGAGTGACACCCACACAACACAGGGATAGCTCAGTGGGTTGAGCATTGGCCTGCTAAACCCAGGGTTGCAAGTTCAATCCTTGAGGGAGCCATTTGGGGATATGGGGCAAAAATCTGTTGGATGATTTAATAGGGGGTTGGACTAGATGATGTCCTGAGGTCCCTTCTACCCCTGATATTCTATGATTAATGACTGTGTTCAAGTGGGGCAAGAGGCAATTACCGTCCTACAGATAGATGAGTAGGAGCTTTTGGGGAACAAGGATCCACTTACACACATGGTCATAACAGCATTTCCTCAGAATAACAACATAGAAACAATAGTATTGAAAGTGTTGGGTAACCACTGTCTCCAGTCTTTCCTCCAATTTATCAAGCTAAGTCTGTATGTTGTTTCAGTTGCTTCATATTCTCTTCTTTCTTAGAAGCACTTCCCCATAGTTTCTCAAGAAAATGAAGCATGTGATATCTGTTGAAACTTCTTACAAAAACCACATGCTATCAGTTTATTCTCAGGCAGCAATCGTCTACACAGTTTGTGATAATCAGTTCTTGTTTCAGGGGTAGCCATCATTTCTCTTTCACAAGTGGAGTTCGTAGTGATTGGGTATGGTGAAAAGCCTGCCTTCTCACTATGAGAATTCAGTATTCAGAGGGGCTGTTTTCCCCACTTGTAAGTTAGTTTAATACTCTAACCAAATCACAGAAGTCCCGAATAAACAATAGTCCAAATGAAAACAATCCGCCCCTCCCCCCGTTTCAGTGTTCATGGAACACAGTATCCTCTGGTGGGGGTATAATAGCAATATCTCCTGGGTGCTCCATCTTCTAAGAGCTCCAGCCTTGTGTCCTAGATAGCAATAGGTCCATCTCCAAACTGTCTCTGCCTTTCTTTCCCCAAGGCCACTTTCTTCAGCTTTGCCACAATCTCTCAGCTTCCCCCTCAGGACTTAGCTAGGGCTTGTTCCTGACCAAAAAACACTCCCTCTTCTCACAGTACTTTACTAACTGGCTTATTTCACAGACCCTCCTCCCCAAGGTTCTTTCCCTTTGACAAGAAAGACCCAGAGCTCCTTTCCTAGTGTCCTCACCAGAAAGACCTTCTATAGATATCCTTTCTTCCCTGGCTTCTTCTAGTCTTTCTATCACAGCCTGTTCCTTTCCAGGCTCTCTTTGCAAAGATGCCTACCAACAGCTCCCTCCAGGTCTCATTCTTAATAGAGAGACTCCCCTAGAAACTCTGAGCTCCATCCCAGTTTCCTCTACACTAACGAAAGGGAGATGGTTGTATACAGCCTCCTCTCCTAGCGAACCTCCCTGTGAAGCCTATAGGTCTCATATGTTCTGAGAACTACAACTCCCAGAATGCCTGTCTTTTGGGCTGAAACCAGAAAAAGGGCAGAGCTGGTCCTGGAGCCTCCCTTAAAGGGTCAGCACACTCTATTACAATAATAAGTAGTACTAGGGGAGATGATTTAGACTGTCAGAGTACTACAGCATATGATTAGGCTGGTTTATTTATTTTCTGTATCAAAGGCTAAAGGGAACTTCTGTAGAAAAAGAGCAGGCTCTAAAACTCTGCATTCTGAGGGTGTGTGAATTGCACAGCAGAGATTGTCAGACTTATTTCATTTGCTGTTTCAGAGCCACATACAAAGGCAAACTGAAAAGGACTTCTTTAGATCCAGGTTACTGTTTGGCGTCAGTAAGAACAAAGATAAAGATTACAGCATTTAAAGTTAATTGAACTGGATATTTTAGGAGCTGCCTGTTTCTCTAATCATGAAAATATAAACAATTACATTTTCAGGAAGTCCTGGATTTTGACATCCTCTTCTTTAGAAGTAGACCTGCTAAACCTGTTTAACTGGAAAGAACTGTCTTTAGTTGCTGAGCTTTTAGTACCAGCTGCTGCATTCCTAGAAACTGAAACATCTCAGAAAATGAGGGAAAAAGAAAAGGAAATTAACATCCTTGCCAAGCTCTGTCTGCATGTTTAACATTGTGCGGCTTAAATATCCTCCTTGGTCACTTAATATGAACAACCATAATAGAGAGTAATCCTTTGCCGTCATCAAGGACCTCAGTATCACTATGAGAAAACACATTTTCACTATTGACAAAATATTCACAAGTGGTCACTGATTTTGGCCATCCCAATTTTTGAGTGGCCAGTTTGAGACATCTTGGACCTGATTTTCAGACTGGCCGAGCACTCAGAACTCCAGCTGAAGTCAGGAGAAGCCCTCTGAAAATCAGATTAGTGGAATAACTCATTCACATTTTAAAAGATCTGAATCTGGCTGTTGCAATGCTAGAAAGTATGGCACAGGTCACAAGAGACGCAAAGGAATTCCATAATTAACAGTGTCATATCTTCAATGCTATAAAACTGCAATGGGAATTCAATTAAAAAGTGAGTAATCAGTGTGTTATTTCAAGAAAATAAAACACCATTCTAGTCCCCATTTGAAGTTATTCAGAACAACACTACCACTGTATTAAGCTATAAAGCCTACATTAGGTCTTTTTCAGATACAAAGAATAAATATTAATTTAAACAATGAATTGACAACCTCCCTTGATCTTTTATTTTTTCACAAGTCTCTTGTTGCATTTTTTGATGGATTTGACTCTGCTCTTTCCTTTGGGGGAGGGTCTTTTCTTGACACAGACACATCCCATTTCATTTTCAAAGTTGTCTTGTAAAAGGCTGCCTCATGATTTTGGATCCTTCCTGTTAGCTGGGTAGAATGTGAGAGGAAGAAGACAGCCCTCCAACAAAATAAAACAAAAGGGGCTAGGGTCTCTCCTCCATTACACTGGATTTATGAAGTTGTAATTCCATTGACTTTAATGGAGTAACACTGGTATAAAACCAACATGATGGCAACAACCTGGCCCATCATCTTATGCCTGTAGAGGTGCACTTATAATACTAAACTCAGACTAGAAACATACAGCGATCCAAATTCTGTCCCTTGATTTTCATGGGGTTGGACAGGGTCTAAGTCAGGATGGAATTTGGCCCAAAGTGTTTATCTACAAAGTGTGGAGGGGAGTAAAATGTTGCTGACAACAGCTACTTGTTAATGAAGACAAATCTCCATGCCTTACTATTTAAATGGGACATCAATAGGACACAGCAGTGCAGATGCTGCAGTAGAAGAGTGGCCATGAAGCAGCTAAATGGATAAGCCACCCAGGCAAAAGCTGACATGCCTGACATTGAGTGGAGCTGGAATATGGAAAAGAAGAATTACTCACAGGGAAGATAAGAAAAATTCTCAGCAAAATTCCAATCACTTAGAGCGCATAGAAGTTTATTAAATCTACCTGCAGCCATCTAGATTAAAGCTGTGAAAGACATCAGCCTCATCACCATACCTATGACACCTCCTTGTTTTTCATGGGAACAGAAAAGCAAAGTTAAATTACTGTGAGGAATAATGACAGGTTTCAGAGTAGCAGCTGTGTTAGTCTGTATCCGCAAAAAGAACAGGAGTACTTGTGGCACCTTAGAGACTAACAAATTTAGTCTCTAAGGTGCCACAAGTACTCCTGTTCTTTGTGAGGAATAATCAGATCATTTTCATTGCTAATTGCTGCTGGCAATGCAGACCTATTGTGGCTAGAAGTTGTGCAAAACAAGTTTAGTTGCTGATACTCAGACAATATTTCATGATCTTGTGCTCTGATACTCTTGGCAACATATATTTTTATGTGCATCCCCTGCAGTCATGGATATTTATGCGCAGTGTAATTAGCAAGTCAGCTGTAACATGTGTGCCGTGGCTGCCCACTTGGCAATTGCTCATGCCACTCTAATCCAATAGAGTTGGTGGCTCCTCTGGGTCCACATGGAACATTACTACAGTTGGGAGCAATGCAAGATGCCCAGCAGGTTACAGCACAGATATTTTAAAGGAAGCAGGTAACCCCAGAGCAGCACTCATTGACTTCAGTGGGCTTTGAATTGGGTCCTATGGTAGGAGAGTGATGTGGTGAGTTACTTGAGGCAGGTGGGATGGAGGGCCAGCCAGTTAGCCAAGTACCAGTAGGCAAAGCTGGAAATACCTTTGTTGTTATATATACCAGCTGTTGAATCCAGAGTTCTTCCATATGACAGAGAGCCTGTTTCAAGAGCAGTAGTCACCAGGAGAGATTTTCAAAGACGCTTAATGGAGTTAGGTGCCCAACAAACGCCCAGCACCACTATTTAGTTCTCTTTTACACTTTATTTTTCATAGACCCTACAGTTCCCACATATACCAGTAGGACCATTATTGATACTGCATATATACCATGTATTTGCCATGTGAAATTTACACAGGTTGTTCAGAGGCAAAAGTTATAATTTGTATGTAAACTCTGTGTCCCCTCTCTAGACACGTAGATGCACATTTTGTATAATTCATACACTATGTATTTTACACACACACACACACACACACACACACACACACACACACACACACACTACTTACTT